TGGTTTAGACCGCCGCTTGGTTTCACTGTTCTAAGGCGGCGTATCCAGTAAGATTCCTTTTCTTTCTTGTTTTCGGAATTCCAGGTGTGGTTATTAGCAATTGCGATAAGTGTTATATCGCTGAAAATGTGGCCAGGTGAGTAGAAGTGTTATGCGACAGGGCTCCTGTACAGTTTCTTTGTCATCCAATCAGATCTATGAAGGTTTATCCTTTTGTGTAGCTTTTTAGTTTCTCCAACATACTGAAGGCTACAGGTCTTACATGAGATGAGATAAATAACATTCTCTGATTTACACGTTTTGTTTGGACCATGTATATCAAGTTTTTCTCTATTCATTGTGCTAGTGAATTTTCTGGTCTCTGTCATATGTTGACAGGTTTTGCATATTTTATCGTCACAGAGTCCAGATTGATTAAGTTGGTCTTGACTAGTGACTGGAGTTAGCTTTGCCCTGTCTAGGATGTTCTTAAAATTTCTGGTCTCCGGTAGGCTACTACAGGTTTGTTCAGAAGGATTAGCTTTAGTATATCCGACGATTGCACGATGGGCTAGTGTTTTGTGATGATTTTTACCTACTTTGGGGTTGTCTGGGTGGTATTCTTCACTATTCGCAAAAGTCTATACAGGCTGGTTGAGACAATGTGTCTATAGGTTTAACTCATGTAGAGACAGCCATGTAGAGTTTTATAAACACAACGTTTTTTATGTTTATTTTCTTGCTTAGTATATGTTCAGTATATGCCTTTGAAAAAAAAACTCATTAAGAGTCGACAACGCAGGCTAGTTAGTTACTAGTTTCGCACTGTCGTCGTCAGTTTATTGCATATATATATATATATATATATATATATATATATATATATATATATATATATATATATATATATATATATATATATATATATATATATATATATTCTTGTATGATCTGCAATCTATGACAAACCAATTTAATATGACACTATATATTCAGCAGTTTTCATCAGAAAGCACATTATCCTGTAATGTGTTGGAGCAAATGTTAAGGAAGGTTTTCTAGTTGTGAAAAGTTAGTAAGGACTATTGAAAAAATATTAAAATCCCCTCCGTTCGGTATCATTCTTTCTTAACCCCGGAAAATATTTCTAATAGCCTTGAAATAGACATAACTTAGAAGTGTTAATCAAAGCAAGCTCATTTTTAGATGCGATTAATATACGTATATGTGCACAACAATGAGAGAGAGTTTTATATAGCTATTTTTTAATAATACTTAACAATTTTTTTTTTCATTCCAGACTAAGTACTTCCAGCATGTGATCAAGTCTCAAAGCGGGAAATAATAGGAAATGGCTGACATGGCAATAAAAGAAGCGACATTATTATAGTTCTATATCTATCCCTCAGCATTGTGTACAGATTACTAGTCAATAGCCATAGTTAATGAATACTGAATATTCTTTCTCATTTGAACCACGAGGCCTCCGTAAATAATATTTTTATGTAATTGATAAATGTTCGTAGCCACCAAATACGGATTAGGAAATTTTTAATATTTGAAATGAATTAGCTTTGTAATTTGAATTATATTCTCTTTTAATAAAGTTGCATTGTGCTTTAATGTTTATTATAGTATTATTTCACTTGTAAATTCTTTTCCTTCAATCAGTCTTTTTATTATATAAATCTTCACTATTGTAACGATAACTCCAAGCTCGTAGAATGTATTTTATTTACGATCTGCGGCAGTGATCTCTCTCTCTCTCTCTCTCTCTCTCTCTCTCTCTCTCTCTCTCTCTCTCTCTCTCTCTCTCTCTCTCTCTCTCTCTCTCTCTCTCTCTCTCTCTCTCTCTCTCTCTCTCTCTCTTGCTCCGGTATTGAATGCAACACTTGAGTTCCGTGTCCCGTGACTTAAGTGGCATATTATAAAGTGTTTGAAATCTACATCCTTCCCTGCATATAGGGGCTTTCTTGCAAGAAATGTCTGGATAACCCCTAACACACACACACACACACGCACACACACTCTCTCTCCATATATATAAAAAAATATATATATATATTTATATATATATATATATATATATATATATATATATATATATATATATATATATATATATATATATATATATATATACCATGTCGGTAAATTCTGCTATTAGGATAATGGTGAGCAATGACACGACATTCCTTCAAACATTTGAACACGTGTTGTTTTTCGTCGAATATTTCCAATTTGTATCAAGAAGAATAATCGTTCTTTTTATTAAAGAAATGATATTATTATATGCTCATCTTTTTTCTCCCTTAACTTTACATTGTCAGAATCATTCAATATCCGGCGATATTGAACACCTTCATATTGCACTCCCACGTGACTGATGCACGTGAATGAAAAAGTATTTTCTATAGAAAACAAACAATGGACGCAGACACCAGTACTTTAGTTTTATTGTGTTTGTCGGTGGATAAAGTAAACCAACTGTTTAAACCATTTGAAAGTAGAGATGCCAAAGTTGAGAATGTGGATGAATTCATAGATTCACAGAAGAAAGTTTCAACGAAGCTGGCGACTGAACGTGATAACAGAAATGTTCAGCGATGGCTGTAAGAAATATAAATAAAGAAAACAGGAGTAACAATTTTTTTTAGACAATGCAAAGAATGAATGAAAATAAAATTACATAACATAAAACAAAAAATATGGGCAAAATATGTAATGAATTGTATAATTTGCACATACCAAACCGTTTTCACAATGAAATACATTAATCGACATTGCCAAATATAAGAAAACTGTTTTTTTTATGTCAGGTGCATTGGATTATTGAATTAAATATAACATATTCGCGATGCAAATGTTAAAAATTGCAGGTATTATCCCGTTTAATCAGCTTGGAACTCTGATGAAACGAGCACAAATCCAGGGGAGAATTATCAATCATTCTGTAAGGAAGACTACTGTGACAAACCTGTCAAAAGCTGGGGTCCCTCCAACAAAGATAATTCAAGTGACTGGGCATAAAAATATGTCATATATAACTGGTAATAGTAATGAGAATAAATCTACGTGCCTTTTTACCTCTTTAATCTCCTCAAAATGTACTTTGTACTTTGTGGCCTCTTTCTGCTAATAAGAATTACGTATTTCCAAATACTGTTACACATCTGTGTACTATAATATATAGGCCTATAGAATCCAGACTACATTGTTGAAATCGAAATCACATTCCATAGTAGACTGTACTGAACTCCGCAACAAATGAATCTGTTGTTCACAAAAAATAAACAATATTGAAGCAAGCATCTTCTTAAGAATTTATGTTTAAAAACTTTCATATTTTTCCAGTTTTCGATTCTAAACTATCCTTGGCAGAACAGAAACAGTTATGCAGATTGTTGTCATCGCCAGTCCCTAAAGTCACACGTACATCGTGCGGAAAACACACAGACGGAGATAATCAGAATTTGGCTGTATTGACAGAGAAAGAAAATCTCTCAATTCCTGACCAGCTGGGAACTTTGTTCAATGGCGCAGTCATTCATAATATGACTTTAAATTTCAATTTCAGATAGACCAAAATGGGATTTCTTTTTTAAATGAGCGAGTGCGCGGTACGCTATGAAGTCAAAAGGTCGATGGGTGGAGCTATATGCGCATAAATACTATTATTGTCCATTGAAGGAGAATTTACGATTGTCAGCTTATTTATTTTAATAATAAAATAATAAATTTTATTATTAAATATATTTTGTTGTGAATTTTATTATTAAGTCTTTGGTAATGAAACAAAAATGACCATATAATAAAAAAGGTTACTGCATTTGAATGGGAAAATATGAACTCATTTTTTCGGATGGCTATACTGCACTCCCAAGGTCGTGCAGAATAGCTATCCAAAAAAACTCGTTCATATTTTTCCATACAAATGCAGTAACCTATAATTCTTAAAGTGCAAAAGATATCCAACCCGGGCTATTAGTCGCGAAACAAAACAATACTAAACACCAGAGCTGCTTAAGCGCTAGCATTCTTTATTACTGTTATCAAATTTCATTCGAAAAATATATACCTTTCTCAGATTTTCCTTCCACATTGATGTAAGTTGAATGTGCCTTAGACGTTTTAGCTTGGATGTCTTCCAGTTAGTAAAATGAAAAGAATCATAATAACATGGTTAAGACTATCAGGATTAGGCATATCCCATCACAACCACTTGTAATCAGTACATATCATATTAAAGTCATTTTATGTAGTAATTTGCATAGTTTACAATATTATGCACTAAAAAAAATATTTTTACCAGCTTATATTTTAAAGCATTTGCAACAAACTCAAGCGAAGCTGCAACGAACACAAGCATTATGTAAAAATATTTAGAAAGGTTCAAAACTGTTGTCCAGTGTTTGTGGTATAGCATATCGCTAACATAATTGCATTGTATAAGTGGATGTGGTTTATAACACGAGAAAAGATTTCTTCATTTGCGTGAATGTCCTTTTATTATTTATTGTATTAATTAGCTTTGTATTTACAATTCTACCAAAACATATTTATTCTCACATAAAATTAGAGACTATTCTTTCACCTAATCTATTAACTACTTAGTCAATCCACTTGAAAACGTAATTTGCGAAAGCAGACATCATAATAACTGTTTGTTTTTATGTTTATTTGTGTTTGTTTCATGATCTGTAACAGTATGTATCATTAATCTTCTTTGCATCTGTGTTTAACCTTCGACACCTAAATGTGTTTTGTGTGATTTGTGTGTGTGTGTGTGTGCGTGTGTGCGTGTGTATGATTGATATTTTTAACGTAACTTTAACAATTTCACAATCATATCGCTATAATGTCTGCAGTGTGGCAGTTTATAGTGATGTCTAATATTCGGGCATCAGCCACATATATGTAGCATGATGTCCCACCCAGTCACATTATCCTGATAGTAGTTTTAACATTAACTCCTTAATGCTGAGCGCCAAGAAAGGCGGCTGTTAGTACCATTTTTGTAAGTCTTTGGTATGGCTCACAGGGGATCGAACCTACGACCTCTCGCTTTCGAGGCGGACGCTCTAACTACTAGACTACCAGAGAGGTAAACGTGTTTTGTGCTTGGAACTGTGAATGTGGACACGGTAATATGATTTGTTTTACGTTCAGAGCTACTTAAGATTCATGTCACGCATGGTCTAGTTACAATTTAGCCACACACAAAAACAGAAATTGGTGAATACGTTTTAAGATCATATTTGAACAAAACGTCACTTAATATTTGGAATGAATTTCAAAAGGTATGCTTTTCGAAGGAAAAAGGTATAAATATTACAAAGTGATTAGGAAATTGTTTATGCAACACTTAACAATAAATTATAAATATGTGTCCAACTATTAGGTAATTTTCTTGGTACATAAATTAGACATGATAATAGGAACAATAAAGTGCCTTCCGATGAAGAACGATATGACATCTCAACCGAGAACGTGCAATTGAAGGCATTGATACTCAAAGGCCATGTATTGCAAAGGTCTAAATTTTGCCATAAATGTATAAACGGATGTATATCTTTGAATGATTTCCGAACCGTGTGTTCAAAATATACTCTGCATATTGCAATTGGTCAATGCCACATACGAGCAGTAAACGAATCGGTTCTGCGAAGGTGATAATACTCATACAAGTCCTGCTCATCGTGTATTTTTGAGTTATAGATAATTTGCATATTAAAATTTGTGATTATTCAAAACAAAAGCTTTCTGAAATTCTAGTCTTATCACGAAAACACATTTTCGAAAATTCAGCTTCCTCGCTATATTCTGAAAATTGCAAACCCACTAAAAGTGAGATGTACATTTGTTAGATACATGTTCAATAAATAACAGTTTCAAATGATATCGTCAACCTTTTGTTACAATTAATATCTTTACTGATTTTACGTATTTTTTTTTATCAGTCTATTCTTCATAATTGTGCTACCTTCAATAACAGAAAGCACGTGGGTTCAAATGAATGAACATTTGAACAAAAAACTCAATAGCTTGTACAATGTAATTCAAGAGATGTCACGACAAAATCTGAAGTCCTTGATGGAGAATAAGCATTAATATTCAGACGAGCTTTGCTAAGAAGCACACTGGTATTACATTTACTTTGTACTTCTGTGGACCCAACTTTAGTGGTAGATTCTGACGCATGCCTGAAAAGGTTTCCTTTCCAAAACAAATGTTTATATTAAAAAAGTTGTATACATTTGCACTACATTTCCACTTTCTTTGAATTGTTTAGTAATCAGTTGCACCATGATAACACTGAGCCATATATAAACATTAATTTGGTTTTATTTCAGTTATATCTTGCATATATATATATATGCCTGTATCTCTTCCATCTTGGCAATGTTTTTCTCTATCAACATATATAGATTCGTTGTATATCAACATATATAGATATACAACGAATCTAGAGCAAACGATTTCCGTCTCAGTTATGTTTTTTTTTTTATAAGTTCCTCGTGATAAGTGATTCCTCGTTTGATATAGAGAACATGATTCAGGCATTGCAATGAATTCTATCACAGGAGTAACATCGTGAGATGCATTAGTGGCCCCTGCCGGATTTCATATTAAAAGATTGTATATTCTTACCGTAAATATTTACTAATTAGAGATATAAATAAGTCTGAGTACTTATGATCATATTTGTGGTACTTGACAATACATACCGATATACAGCTTGGATTTGTGTACTGATAAATCATACCAATGTGAGAAACAATAAAAAAGCAAGTCTAATGAGAAATTAGAGTCATGTGAAAATGTGGTCTCTAGTTTCATCAGAGTACAATGGTGTTTGGCATTAGTGCTATTTATAGAACCCATAATTGAGAAAGACAGTTGTCATGTACATCTTGGAAATAACGCGGAAAGTAAGAACTCAAGGAATATTTACAAACAAGGAATCTGACATACCGGGAAATAACGAGATGAATTATTACTAATAGTTTATGATATGTTTCCTCCCTCATTAAATTTTGGCCATTATACTGATTTTAGTTGTTCATCTTTTGTGCATATTAACTTGTTTTCAAAGGTAAATAAATTATTGATTTATTCTGCACATAAATCAATGATATTCTGACTGATTCTAACTATTTAATTGAGTGTCGGAAATGTCTTTCAATCTTAGACTAATCTCTTCTTATATTCATCAAAATGATATAATTTAGTTAAATCGATTAAAAGACAGACACATATAACACAGATCGAATGATATATATATATATATATATATATATATATATATATATATATATATATATATATATATATATATATAAGCGGACGGAAATACAGATAGATAAACAAAGAAACACACACACATACATACATACATACATACATACATACATACATACATACATACATACATACATACATACATACATACATACATACGTACGTACGTACGTACGTACGTACGTACGTGCATGCATACATACATCATACATACATACGTCATCATACATACATACATACATACATACATGCCTGCATACATACATCATACATACATACATACATCATACATACATACATACATACATCATATATATATAAATGGATTGATGGATTGATTAATGGATAGATGGATGGATGAATGTATTGGTAAAATTTATGTTATGTTCGGACTTCGATTTACAATCGGCATGCCAGTTTGTTTCCTAAATAATAGTTGAAAAGACCATTTGTACCTTAGCCTTTCAAACATCATATCAAATGTCCTGTCATATAAAAAAGGAAAAAAATCCCCAAAGAATCTGCATTTTTAATGACTTTTATTGCATCTAATACACTTCTATCGGAGAAAAATAGTATACAGATAATATTATGCAACAATTAACAGATCTCGATCGTACACAACGTGATAAACTATTGTTTAAATCTATTGGATCTAACGTTCAATATATTATGAAGAATAAATACAGATAAAATTAAAAGAGGAAGATCATCATAGAATCTTGTCAATAAAGTCAGAAAAAGAAATGTCTGGATCTTCAAAGTGAAGATAAAAATGAATTTAAGGTTCCATGAAATACGTTGCTTTTCTTGTTTTCTGATAAGCAATTTACCCCCACAACAGCTAACAACCATTGCTGTGAAATATTTATTGCACATGCATTTTGTTTTTCATAAAGTTTCAAAATCGTCCTGACTCTGGAATGTTTTATTTACCAGATTCTTTAATATCTATTAAAACAAATTGTCTTGTGCAAGTAGACTGCCTCTTTTCTTTCATGAAGTCTCCCATGTTTTCCTAAGTAAGCCAATAGTCTTACAGACGAACATAACTGAATGTATGAACAACTTAGATTAGTAAAAATACTTGTTTGTTTTAGTTTTGTTATATGAATCAACTTTTGATGGAGAAAACGAAAGGCTGCTCCATGCTCTTAAGAAACAGAACTAGGGATGCTTTTCTTTCACCAGTGTAAGAAAAGGATGGAGAGTCTCTGACGTGATTATAACTCACGTTTTGCTGAAGAGTTCGTAATTCTGTCCTGATCATAGCTATATGCCTAAATAGTGGGAGGCAGGTGAATTGTAGAACTCTATGACATCGAACTGTTTGTATTTAGATGATAGGAGGTGTTTTCTTTAGACACATTTCGAAGATTGTTTTCGTCTTCGTGTTTAGAATTGTTAGTGACAAGTTGTATTATTTCTAGCACGTTTGCTCTAATTAACATTAAGAATTATAGGCGTCGAACATCCAATAATTCCATCCAATTAGTAATTTAGCTTAACGATTGTAAAGTAATTTACATTAAAATGTATAATCAGTATCCTGAAAAAATGCAATTTGGCGAACTACACGTATTTATGTTATGATTGAAATATAATTTAGTGTACATTTTAAGAGAAAGTGTTAAATTGTTTTACAAAGCTAAAGGATCATCGTTTTGGGATATCATGAATGTCTCACGCCATGTGCCAATAGTTATGTATAAGAGAGATGAGTATGAGTTATACATGTATATGCTTTTGTATGTGTTATGTATAAGACAAATGCAGTACTATTTTGGAAACAATATATGCTTCTAAATGTGTCATATGCAAGCAATGAGTAAGATATATATATATATATATATATATATATATATATATATATATATATATATATATATATATATATATATATATATGCATCTGCTATGAATACGAGATCTGCAATAGTCTTTAAGGAATAAATATGCTTCTAAATATGTCATAGGTAAGGAATGTGTGAGAGTTATATAGGCTTCTGTTTGTGTTATTGGTAAGGAATCCGCAAGAAATATATAGACATATTTGTGTCATGGGTAAGGAACGTGTAAGAGTTATATAGGCGTCCATATGTGCTATGGGTAAGGAACATGTAAGAGTTATATATTCTATTTGTGTTATGGATAATGAATGTAAAAGAGTTATAAAGGATTATGTATATCATATGATATATATGTTGCTATATGCATTAGGTGTTATAGCTGTTTATCAGTCTTCAGGGTACAATATATGCTTCTAGATGTGTTTTGGATAATATATATATGTTATATATATATGAGTTTTATGTTTAACAAAATTTCCATCCTCTAGTTTACGAAGTTAACTTCTCTTTCACATGTTGTGTCATCTCACAACTCCCCGTTGAATTGAACAGCTGGCATTTCTTTCTAGTAGTTATTAATACAATAAACTCCCCAAGTGTTACTGCTGCTGCACGTTACTGTACTGAGGCCGCCATTTTCTTTACAACTGTCATGCGGTTTTGGTGCTTGCATAATTCTCTCAGACAACCAGCCGCATCCGCATCCATCATACCCAAGAGCCACTGCGTTCTGCACAGCTTGCGTAGATGCAATGGTTGTTCCGGCTTTTGTGCATGTAGCTCGCGCATTGTCGAATGAAAATGTGGCATCGCTAGTCGGTGCAGGAACAAATCGAATTTCACTACCTGCAAATGTCAAACAATGGTCATGTCATTGTAATCCAAAACAGTGCACACTTTTATGTGTGCATGCGTAATGAAGAGAGTTTAGGAATGAAATAAGATCATAACT